TTTGAATTTCCCGAATCCAATTAAAAAATTCAAATACATCAATATAGGTCAATTACAATTTATCCAACCACCCCCAATCCCCTCAATCCCCCAACTTCCCAATCTCAAATATAGAAATCCCATATTTAGCCCGACCAGTGACTAGGCTAGAAAATTGGATATCTTGATCTCCCGATTCTTCTTCTCTATTTATCTACCTACTAGGTAGGTATGCTTCTTTTCGTTTTGATTTCTACCACGTACAAATATGTCATATAAATCAAAGTCCTCGAAGACTCGATTAAATGTTCACAACCAAGGATAGATGAACAAATGGATGGATATACATACTACAGCATTCATTCATTCAAAGTGTAGTAGTCACACAAACAAGTACAACAAAAACAAGGGAAAATACCACACCCACTCATATAATCCTGAACTTGTCCCATTACCTCCTCGACCTAAAGAGAAAGAAAAACGATGTACGCACTGATTGCTTGACGCGCTTACTCAACTAACCATCCATAACCTGACTATTACGCCACGACATGACGAAAGATATAAAACGCCCTGAAACAGTCATATTAAATCAGTCATGGGAACCACTGATATCGCTTTCCCTTCTTCCAGATCCAATCAAATCAACCCCGCTCTTGCTGCCTCTCCACCTCCATCGCCAAGCACCTCCTCCATCCTAGCCTTTCCCTTTCCAATACCACCTTCACCAACTCCCATCCTCCTTGCCACATATCTTTGTGCTACAACCCCCACTCCCAAACTCAGTGTCTCCTCCACCCATTCCGCAACCCATTCGCGCGGATCCACTCCTCCACTTTCTATAATTTGTTGAATCTCTTCGGGTAATCCTGTATGCGCACCCTCCGATTCGGCACCGAAGAAACCGGACTTTTCTTTTGATGGTGAAGATGCGGATACAGGAGTCAGTGGAGCTGGAGCATCAAGCCATTCAATCCACTTTGCAGGAATAGATTGGGTAAGTGTAGAGAACGTTATGGTGTGGACTGGATCGTGGAGATAAATAGCGAAAGAGATTAATTCATCAGGTATCGGTTTATCGTCAACAACACCTCCTTCCTTCTCTGTTACCGGACCTCCTTGGAACAAATCGACTGGTGCTTCATGGGTAATTGCTTGTACGGCCATGAAGATATCGCTACTGCGAACTGGGTTTGACTCGCTAAGATCTTCGGTGGCTCGCTGAGCCGCGAGTTCTAATCCACCATGGGCATCGAAATACTCTTTCGAATAAGCTTCTGCGCTCACGCGGACGAGTTTCGTTCCTTCAACGAGTCCTTTCACAGAGCCAATATCGCGATTGTCAGTTCCTACGCGCCACCATGGTCCATCGCTCCATCCTGCATTGCCTCCAGTATAACCAGCTTCGGATGCGCGACGTGCTGTTGATTCGTGACCACGTTGGATGACAAGTAGATCTCCTCCTTCAACTTGAGCCATTACACGAGAAAATGTAGAATAGATGAGAGGTTCGAGAGAAGGATAACCGATAAAATCATGGGTGATGTGAATTTGAAGTCGTTCGTGGGATGAAATAGGTGGTGCGAGAGTATGTAGAATATTTGTAAACGTCGGAAGAGCTCTCGATCTCAACTCACCACCTTCACCTTTGATTAGCATATCCCTCGCTTGCCAATAAATCAACCAAATATCTTACCAAAACCTCTAAGAACCCCAACGTTTCCCTTAACTTGTTCCGCCCATCGTTTTGCTTCCTCATTCTGTTGAATTTCTTTAACTGCAGCTTGAGCTTGATTGACAGCTGCACTAGCTGTAGCTGTTGCTGTTGCGAAGACACTTCCCCATGACCATCCCCCACCCGCTGACGGAGTTTCAGCAGCAGGTTGAGCAACTGGAGCTTTCTTTTCAGCTTCTTGAAGATCGCTACTAGTTGCTGAGGGGGTAAAACTAGTATGAAATGACCGAGTACTGTCAACAGACTTTCGAGGAAGAGTAGGTTTCTCCTCGCTTGATATGTCCTCACTTCTGCGGGAAGCTGGAGGAGGGGTTGCTGTATTCGAACGCTTCACTTGTTGGATTCGTGGTGTATGTGGTCTACTTGGTTGCTGAGCTCCAAGATTTTCAAGTTCCGCAAGTAGATCCTGTTCTGATTGAGATGGTTGTTTTGTTTTATGTGATTTTGAAGCTCCCTTGGAAGAAGGTGCTTTAACTTTAACTTCATCAATACCTTCCAAGAGTTCATTCAACTCATCATCGGTTGGAGCTGGTTTTGATTTCTTTGAAGCCATGATTGTGTTGTTGATTGGCCAGCAATATCAATGATTGAATGATTTATTGGGCGTGTTTTGTTGTATGTTGAGTAAAAGATGGTAGCAAAGAAATGATACTGACTTTCACCTGTCTCATTTGGCCTGGCTCTATTTTGGTCGTTGTTGATAAAGGGCAATTATCAAAGGTCCAAACATCCATCATCCATAATATAGGGCGAGGCTAATGCAACCTTATATTAATATGTGATTGGCTCCAGCCACAACTGAGGCGTCTCTAAACACCGAGCACCGCCATCCATCTAACATTTTATGACCCGAAGCCCCAAATTGAATCGAAATAACCTTTTTAAAGCAGTTAAATGAGAATCTGACCGACTACAATACTTTTTAACAACAATAGCTTTATGTCTTGCAAATAGCATGTAATCGATCATTGAGCTCTTTTGCTAATTCTCCTATAAATTTGCTCTTTCAATTTGTACCTCGTCTCTCCATCATTTTGGTATACATTTTCTTCCGGTTGCATGTACAGCTGCAAAACTTACGTCTGAGACCTTGTGGACAAAAACTCGAACTCTTTGATTTGAGAGTTGAAGCCAGCACAACAAACTGTGTTGGTTTCATATTCTTTCTGATCAATTCACTGAGGAAACTTCCCAACCCTCTTCAATATGGCGCGAATCAAGGTTCCCCCTATTGCGACTCAAGATTCTACTTCTAATATCGAGAAAGGAGTTGGCTCTTCCGAGTCCCAAGAAACTTCATCTAGTTCTTCTACATCATCTTCCTCAACACCAACCTGTCCAAATTGTAGTAATACATTCGCGAAACTATCAGATACAGTAAGTCTATCTCTACATACTTCTATTCCCATCACCATATTCTTTTCATATTCACAATATGTAGGACTTTCTCAATCACGTGGCTGCATGCAGTCGACCATCCACAGCGGAATCAATAGGAACGGTTACTACTTCGGGTAGTTCTCTATCACCACCTCCTACTTCACCTAGGAACTTAATTGCTACGTCAAAATGTTTTTCCAATGGAGATGGGCCAAAAGCGGATTTGCATTTCGACTACAACGCGGCCCAAGAGCCTGCAATTGCTATTGCTAATGCCGACGAAGAAGATTCTATTTCCAAGGATCACAATCTGATTCAACCATATGTCGATCCGAAATCTGAATTCGACTACTATGATCAAATCGAAGGCCATGAGGAAATTGACGTAGATATCAATGACCCTGATATCAGCCTTAAGTTCAAATATCCTAAACTTCCGGCCATCTCACACTTCGAAAAATACCTCAAAAATCCTAGCGAAATGTCATATGATGAATTGTACAAAAGAGCTGAGATAGTTAGCACAGTAAGTCATCGTCGCTGCTTCATGGCCTCGAATTTGTTTTTATATAATTTTACATTGGTGTCCTACTCCATACTGTGCGGCGTGAAACACAACGACTAATCATTATCATAGAATGTTTTAGCCGTTTGGCAAAAGGAGTTTGACGCGATTGATGAAGAAATTTATGCATATGAATGTCAAGAGAGAGAACGAGTGCAAATGGAGAAAGAAGCGGAGAAAGCCGTAGAAGAGGCAGATAGAGTTGCCGAGCAATTGGAAAGAGATGACCTGGTGGCTATGGCAAAAGAATATGCCGTTGTATTAAAATCAAAGGCCCCTGAATGGACCGCTTTCATGAATCAATTTGAAGAGGATGATGAATTTCGCCTACGTCTTGAAAGCCTTCGGGACCCACAATTCAGGGCGAAACTTCAGAGGCAAGCTTTCGCTAGGGAACAAGAAAACAAAAAGCTTAGGCAAAAGGAGCTGAAAGAGTCGAGCAAGCCAAAACTTCTCAACGAGCCCTTGCCTGAGATCAAAGTGACCAAAGAGGAGATAGAAGCCGAGAAGAGAAAAGTAGGACGCTTAATAGATCCCACGAAATGGGACGATATGAAGCAAGCAGATGTATACGGTTTTGAATATTCTTCGCATCCAAAACATCTTGGTGCGCAACCAATTCCGACAGCGTCTAGAAAGCGTGGTTTGGGTGAAGTAGACATGACAGAAGGTAGAAGTGGTCGAGCTCAACGAATGGCGACCAGGAAGATGTACGATCAGAGCACACCAGAAGATGAATCAGACGGTTTGCCAGCGAAACGACAACGAAAGATCCGAGTACTTGACGATGCTATTGGAGAGTTGTCGAAGACTTCTCGAAAACAAAGCAGAAGTCAAACCCCCATCAGGAGAACCTTTCCATCTGGCAAGCCCATTGGAAGGCCGCCAAAATCGCTTTCAAAGCTCAAAGATGTTCAACTTGCCTCTGGCGAAGATGAGCCACCGATGCTTGAAGACGATGCTCCAAAAGATGAAGATATTTCTCGACACCTCCTGCCGTCCGAACAGGAACAGCTGCAGCAATCGGCCGAATCACTCGTCAACCAGATCGCGGAGGAATTACCAGTTGAACCGGTCGTGAAAAAGAAGCATGCAGGTGGTAGGCCACGGAAGCATCCACTTCCTGTTCCTCCTCCTGTGGCTGTTGTTAACATTATACCCCCCACAGAAGAAGTTATTACAGCGCCATCTGATACCCCTGCGGCGATCGTACCCCCTGTAAAGCCAAGGGCTAAAGTTATCAAACCAAAGAAGCATCCAGCCAAGTCAGCCAAGTCCAGCAAGTCCGGTAGTCGAGTTAAGAAGGAAGCTAATATCGAACCAAGTGCTGAAACCGAGGAAGAAAATGCAATCCTGCCAACTACGGAACACGATGAGGATTCGGACTCGGATGCAACTGCGGCCATCAATTTAAGGCCCGGCAGCTCATCTTCGCAATCAACTATCTCTTCTTATGGTAATCGTCAAATCAACCGTTCTTCCACTCGTGAACAGACCCTAACACGTGAAACTCGAATAGCTACTCGAAAACGTGCAGCTGCATCTACTGAAAAGTCTGTCTCAATTCAGGAATCTCCTAAGAAAGTTCGAGGAAAGCGTAATAGTGGATCAAGCGAAACTCCTGTCGCCACTTCTCAACCACAAAAGGCCCGAAAACCAAGTAAAAAACAGGCAACAATCGAAGAAAATGAAGAAGTGGAACTATCGCAGGAACCAGTCATCAAAAAAGAAGCAACCCCTGGCGCACACCCAATCATTTCACCGCCATCATCCCGAACTAAGCGCAAGCGAATTTCTGAAGCCATTGCCGAAGCGCCAAGCGCTTCTCCTACCAAAAAGGCTCGCAAAGGTCGTCCTAGCAAATCAATGTCAACACCTTCAGAGGGGCTTCATTTTATATCCGCCTCATCGCCTAAGATCAAGGTAAACAAGAAGGCCAAAGGACCCCTTGCGAGAATCCTTCCACCTCGTGAACCGAGCACTCGTGCCCGTCGTGCTCCAAAAGCTATTCGAAATGCCGACAATGCTGACGAGGAGGATGAGGATGAGGATGGAGATGAGTTGAATATGCCAGCAACGGAATACGAAAGATATCAAGCACTGGCTGATCCAAGAAGCCCCATTACGTTGGGCAAGAGGATTCGGAAAAGCGTCATTGATTTAAGAAAAGCGATGGAAGGCGGTGATGACGATGATGGAGATGATGAGTTTGATGGGTGATCAGGTTTAACATCATCGATAGCTTCCGTCATGAAGACCGAGGCTATTTATTGCCAGATCTGACTGTTCAGGACCATGACTCTCATTTCACGTTTGAACTGGACGTCCCTTCTTACATCGACTTGCCTTATAGCTCGTTAATATCCTTCTTAAAAAAGAAGAGCAACCTGAGGTTGTTGCTACCTTAATTGGAAGCAAATAAGTTCACTTTGTGTATCGATTTTGTCGGTCGAGCTCATATAAACCAGAATGGGCCTTGAATAATCGAGTCAGGCTCCTTTCACGATAAACGACTACTCGTTACAACACCACGTACATAAATTCGGCGGACTTCATGGAGTACTTCTGCTAATTTTCTTTTTCATTTTTGGCTTACCATCATTTACTCCACTTGTTCATAATCAAGACACGCTAACCATTGGACATATCACGCTCCGCACTCTCTTTAGACTCCGGCGAAAGGATTGGGTTTAACCTTTTTCTATATATGCAAACAGGCGGGTAGGGATTAATTACTTAATCATTGACATTGTTTCTCAGGGATAATAGGCGGATGACGGGCTATTCGTATTTCTTAATGGGTACATGGTACGGACTCGGATCTTGTATGGAAGGTTCTTGGGATTGGGACAAAGGGCCTTTTTCTGTTTATATACATCTGTCTCATGGCTGGTCTTGGAGTTTCTGGTTAAAGAGCACCGGGGTCGTTTTCATTTTTTGATTTCTTATCTCGTTGGCTTTGTACATAGGATTATAAGAATGTGGGGTGTTGGTACCAGGTTGAGGTCTGGAATATATAGAGATAGCGCAACAGAAATGGAATTTGGACTTTGTTTTGATTTGAAAGCTAATATCTTTGCACTTCGTTCGAATGTAGTGAAGCGAAGGAGTCGAGGGTTGTTGGACAGGTTATCCACCATTCAGCTATGGACGGGTAATTATTGCTACTAATGATTTGATATGAGTTGAAGTTCTTTCACCTCAGCTTGATTTTTTCTGTCTTATCTTTCTCTTCATCTACATTAGTTTGATTTAGTCTAGTCAGAGAAACACAAATTTACTCCAAGTAGGTTGAGTAGGGGCCTGAGGTTGTGATTTGAGTAGATGGAAATCAAATTTGATATTCGGATTTTGTATTAGTGTCTGGGTATATTCTGTTCAACCAAATCTATCTATTAATAAGATTGAAAAAAAAAAACAGTCTATCTATTCATCTATCCCATTATGTCTATCGTAAAATGTAACATTCTAAAAATTATCTATCCTCGTAGTGTAATGTTCGCTGTATAAAATCCAAATCTAATTTTCATAACCCAAGATATCTTCGTTTATCATTTATTCATACGTATGTCGAAATCCCCCATCAATCAAACCCAAAACATCACATCACATCGCATCCCCAAACCCCACCCATCATCCCATTAATTACCTCATTACCCCCCTCCAAAACAAACCAACTAATGCACCAACCCCTCCCCAACAGCGCCCTTCTTCGACCAAAACGGTACGAACGAGATGAGGGGAGGAGGTTTGTGTTTAATT